GGGGATTTAGGCCAGGGCTTAACAGGTGCTTAAAATAACCATTATTGAAGGAAGTTATTTTTTTTCCCGGCCTTTAATGTGACCATGTATCAAGATTTTTCCATTTTACTCGTAGATATGTACTATGTTATATCAGATGTTTAACTAAAGTCCTTAAATGAATTATTGTCATAATATTTATATTTTTATCATTCAGTTAGAAGTAAATAGAGACTGTTTTTCTTCTGTGCCAAAGAAAGCTGATAAATATGAAGAATCCTGCCTATTTCCTGTGCTCTTGTTTTCCTTTATATGTAGATGTAAAACATATTTGCCTTAAGAAGTTGGTGGGCTCTCTGTGGCTGCAGGCTGCTGTCATCCTGCTTCCGAGTCAGCTCAGGTTTGGTATTGGCAGTGAGCAGCCTAGGGCCTCTAAGTTAAATGATGTGGGAAACTCTTGGGCTGGTGCCCCTAGTAGCCTGTAATGTTTTGTGTCTTAGGGATGCGTGCTGGAGTTAAGCTCCTTCCCCAAATACCAAAGTAATGTTTAACATGAACATAAACTCTACTCTGATGTCTGTATGCAGAAAGGGTTTGTTGTGTGTTTGTGCCCAGGGCGGATCTGCAGGAAGCTTGGTTGAACTCTGCTAGTTGTTCTCTAATTGTATAACCAGTTTTTCAGTCAGTGCAATTCTGCTTACTTTACGCTATTGCATTGTGAAAAAGCAAGGGCAGCTGTCCCCTTAGCATGAGAATAAGGGCAAGGCAGGGAAGAAGTGTGCTGGGGCAGAGTGCCAAACCAACTGCGGGCTCTAAAACCAGCACAGGAGAAGGGCTGGTCAGACCAGTTGTGCCTGCGGTGGAGACTCCCACCAGAGCAGCACCGCAACGCAGCGACAGGAGCCTTTCCGCGTCCCGCGCGACAAGTATGACAGGCTCGGAGCACGGCTGGTTATGCGAGGCATGCAGACAGACCAGCTTAGGCTCAGCTCCGTGGCGTTTGGAGTTGACTTAGCGCCTTGTGTAGCACGGGCACCAGGAGGGAAAGACGTGAACGTACGGTAGTGACCATGGTGCAGGGTGGGCTACTAGGCTGTTGGGGCAGTGGTTAACCCGAAGGATGATTAACTCGGAGGAAAGTAAACAAATTTCATGATGTAGAACAACTGATAAATGTGAATCATGATTTGCCTTTTTATGTGTTTGCTTTTGACACCTTCTGAAGGCAGCACTGAGCTGATTTGTTCCCTGGATGCAGTGTTTTGTAAGGGAATGATGCTAGTAACTGTTACTTGCTTGATTTCTTTGGAAGACTGACTTATAAAAATGGTAGAATATGAAAAGATGGATATAAAATCTGGAAAAATGTGAACCTCCTCTGAAGCATGCCTGTTTTCTGCATACTGTTTGAGACCTGCTGTATTTATGTGCTTGATGATTTGAAATAGACACTTTAACCATGTTTCATTTCAACTAGCAACTGCTAGTTTGGTGGTGGTGATCTTTTTAAATTAATACTTCCCACCACAAAATGTATTTTTGTGCCAATGCAGGAGCATTTGCTTTACCGTTGTTGATGCAATTTTCTGCCTCCTCCTTTATAAAGGAAATACCTTCTGCACTTGGTTGTTCAAGGTAAATGCCACAAACATTGAGTATTCAAGAGACATTAGAATATCAAGAGGAATGTGCATAGGCAGTTATTCCACATAATTTTTGGCTAGATATTTCTGATACCAAGATCAGTTGTGACCTTATGACAAATTATTAGGTTTCATTTCTACTTAAAATTTAGTAATTGGAATATGAAAATTAGTGCTACCCAGCAGCAGCAGAGGAAAAAAATCCATCTGCTTAGGGGTCACTTTTGGGCAGACGTTTAAAATTTGGTGTTTTGCAATCAAGAAGGCTAAGACCATTCTTAATATGATAAATTGTGTTTTGGGTACTATTTAAATTTGCAGCAAGTCTGCAAGGAATACTGAATCCTCTTAATTTTCTTTTGCTTTTATACGTTTGTTTAGTCACTGTTGGAATTCCCGAGTGTTTGCTGTTAAAGCTATAGGCTCTGTGTTTTCAATTGGCTTTAAGTATAGGACCTTCTGTGGATGGAGCTCGCAGTGTTCTGGTAATAGCAGAGTTATGTAACTAGTTTTATTTTTGCTTGCAAATAGTCTTACCCCGTGTCAATAGTGCTGTGATTTCATGCTAGAAGGAAGTAATCCAGAAAAACAAAAACTTAGACAATCCATTGGGCGGAAACCAGCAGGCAATATATATTTTTTTTTCACCTGCTGCTGTCAAATGAAGAGAAGTGCCATCCAGTGTGTGGACTTCTGACTGTGCTGGAGATCTTGGGTGGGATATCCAGTGTGGATTAGGAAGTTCATGTGTCTGATTTTGCCAGTTCTTTTCTTGTGGGAGTGGTGAACTCCAGCAGCTGGGCAGTAATGAGCAGCTTTGAGGCAGTAACACATCAAACAACTACACATTTTGGAGGGTTTATGATACTTTCCAAAGTGCTTTACAAAAAGCTTAAAACGAGCCTAAAAAAGCCCTCTGATCATCCCAGAGAAAGCATATGTGAGAGCTTGGGCTCCAGTACCTACTGCAGAATAAACTGGCCTCAGCTTTACTACTGCTAAGGTCTCTTTCTACAGAGAAATCTTTTGCTGAGCATGTGAAATAAAAGCCACTTGTGACAAGATGGAACAAATCCTGAAAGGGAAATTTCTATCTTCCCTCTTACCTGCGTTATTTACACATTCTCTTACTGAGTGCGTTAAATGTACATCCTCAATTTATTTTAAACATTAGAGTTAATGTTCTTTTACCATCAAATTGGTTTTCTCCAGCAGTTTTGCTCATGCTCTTCTATTTCTGTGCACATTTAAATGGTCAATGAGGGTAGATTTGTGGTAGCTGTTTCTTGTAGAACACTGTGAGCTCTTTAATGGTCACTTGGTAGCAGCAGAGTAGTTATTTTGTCTGCCCAAACCAAATGAGAGGCTGGGAGCTTGGGAGTTGTGGATTTGCTGACCGCAGTGTTGACTGAGCATAAATTGTTTGAAGCAAAGAGGATCAGGAGTTTTACAAACAGATCTCTGGTATCAATAAAACTGAGAGCCCTTGTAATAGTTGCGCCTTGCATGTTATGCACAAGGTCTCATACTCGCCACCTCCATTCTGATTTACAGGTTTACTTGCTATTTGCCTTCTGGTTCCCACCTTGCTATTTTCTGTAGGTGTAGCTATTCTGTGCTCCTGCTCCGTATCTCTCTAGCTGTTTGCTGGTGATTTGTGAATGTTTTCCAATGTTATGCACAAGGTCTCAGACTCGCCACCTCCATTCTGATTTACAGGTTTACTTGCTATTTGCCTTCTGGTTCCCACCTTGCTATTTTCTGTAGGTGTCTGTAGCTATTCTGTGCTCCTGCTCTGTATCTTTCTAGCTGTTTGCTGGTAATTTGTGAATGTTTTCCGGCCCCGGCTGGGCATGCAGACACTTGTCCTTACACTCTGTTTTCTTTCTTTTTATTTTCCTTTTGTTGTTTAACTGTCAGTCGCAGCCTCACCATTGGTTTTGGATATCAGTGGTGGCATCTGTTGTTGATTTTGCTGTGTGTGTGCGTGTGTGACTACTACTTCGGAGAAGCAGCTGGGTTGAGGTTTCTTCTCTTCCTTATTTGACTCTTAAACCAAATAGTGGAAGGCTGAAGCGGTAGCAGCTTGTCACTGACTTAGTGGCGTTTGTTGATCCCTTTACCAACTGTCCAAACCAGCACAAGCCGCAGCACGAAGTGTTGGTTAATAAGGTAGAGACTGCGGTGAAGTGCAGTGGGTTTGGTGAATATAAAGAGAAAGCTGAAAGGAATGAGAAAGCGAGTGTGCAAACATGCCTGATGCTGCATGGTGACAAAGTCACTGCTTCTTTTGAGAATTATTGGAAAAACAAGGTTGACATCCTCAGTGATGAGTATGCCTGCTGTTTATAAATAAAGCATGTATTTTAACATTGAATGATTATATATAACTTATTACTCTGTAATTTATTAATTTATAGATATTTTCTCCAGTGTGGGAGCACAGGATTGAATCTGAAAGTTATGACTGTACTAACTAATTTCTCGTAATGGAAATGACACTTCAAGGGCTTCTGGTGTTGGGTAAAGATGCCAGCAGGCTTTCTAGACACCTGGCCATCTGAGGTTCCTGAAACCAAAAACACAGCACTGAAACCAGGCAGCTCTTTAAACGTTCTGTCTGCTTTGGTCACGGAACGATACACTGCTGCAGGAACGCTTTCTGCAGAGCTCTTTGGCTCCTCAGAAGTTTGCTCTTTGAGCTACTTTTGAGAGAGCAAATCTGCCACAGACCATCTGTGCTCTGCCAGCAAGGGATTTGTGCTGCTTGCAGACAGATGGGAATGATTTTTCTCCCCTCCATTCCTTCAGGTTGTTGGTATATAGGCATTTTGCTATATAAGTACATATGGGTAATCGGTCAGGACATGACAGTAAGGAAGTTATATGTGTATTCTCATTGGCTGGATGAGTAACCTTGTGTTGTAAAAATGCATATGCCAAGGCATATTGTTACTCTTGAATAGCCTATTAAAATGAGCTGTAAAGCTGTAGGTTATTAGAAGGATTTTTTTTTCCTGTTGTATTTGTATTTCTGTAGTATTTTCAGAGATGATCTGTGGACTTTTTGTGAATTTAAAAAGAAATGCATTGGTTAATTCGGAAAAGCTGTGCTATTTTTCTAGCTGCCTTGTCACTTACTATCTAATTACTTTGTGTTTGCTATCTGTTTTCAATTCTCATTTTAGGTACTTGCACTGGAGTATCTAAGTCAGTCTTGAAAATTGACAGACTCTGAGTGAAACTTATGTACCTAATTATTTCTATCCTTAAAATATTACTTTCCTGTAACCTTTTTTTCCCCTCTCTCTATTTAATTTTGGGTATTGAATATTATGTTGTGTAATGTGAATTCTCCTTCTAGATTTTCAGAAGAAAATGATGGAAGAGTATTTACCAGAAATGCAAAGCACTCTGGAGCCAGTCATTCTGTCCAATGACTCCAATTCCAGCTTCCCAGCCAACAAAAAACCTGATAAAACACCTGAAATGAAGGACAGCACTAACATCTGTTGTACTGGAGATGATGCTAATACCTTGGAAAGGGAGTCCAAATTGCTCCCCTTGAACCATGACTCAGCAGTGACTGAGCCAAGCAGCAATGGGAGCCCGGTGGGACAACAGGAACAGCAGTGTGATCACGGTGGAGGTGGGGACTGCTCTGCCAACATGGGCTTTGAAAGAAAGGTGGAAGGCCCCAAGAAAACAGGCCATTTTGCTGGCGGAGACTTCAATCCCAAATCTAATGAGACAGAACAATCCCTAATGGAAATACTACAGGAGCTAAGGGAGGAGTCTGACTTCATGAAAAAATCTACCGATAAAATCTATTCGGAAAGCCCCTATGATACAGACTGTACAAAGAAGCTTATTTCCACAATACATCAGACCTCACAGGAGGATTTGCTCGAAGAAATAGAATCGGAACTTTTATCTACAGACTTTTCAAAAGAACGCAAATGCCCCAATGGTGTGAGAAAGGGCGAACATGCCCTGGCTGTGTTTGAAAAGTGTGTGCAAGATAAATATCTGCAGCAGGAGCAAACTATAAAGAAGTGAGTATTTGAGTGTTCTGATCACGAGTATGGAGGTGTATAGGAGTTCAGGGTAAGAATGAGCTCAGCTGCATACTGTGTGAGCACAGTGTTGTGGTATGTTACAAATAGTACCTTGTGAATTGTTACGGAGGCAGTGAATGACCTTTTTTCAAGGAAATGGGGAGTTAATTTTGCTCACACTATGTACTTTAAAGAAAACCGTGTGCTCGGATCTCTGAAGCCTCATGAAATTTGGCAGAAGCTGAATAGCTAGCTGTTCAGTTGGATAGCCTGCCAATATCTAGAATTACTTAAGTGCTGTGAAAGTTGGGTGATATAATCCAGGATTCATTCAATCTATGCATTTCTTTGGAGAAACAAACCTTTGAAATTATTAACTATCCCTATATGATTACTTTATGCCTTTGAAAATGCTTTTTTTCTTTAATGTGTATTTAATATTCAGTCTTTCATCATACTTCACCACTTAGAAGGTATTTTTGAGTTGAAAACTACTGTCTTAACACATTTTTACAGAAAAACTTTTGCTATATACTTAACGAACTTTTTCTGCAGTCGTGCTTGATAGTTCTACCTTATAGTTTATTAAATGAAGAATATTTCTGTTCATGGTAAGCCAGATTCTGTGGATGACTTCTTGATTCTCCACTTGGCCTTTTATATTGTTACCACCATTAGGTTTGTTTCTTTCTAACAGAGCTTGATTTCAAGCATATTCCTGCTTGCAGAGCTGGAGGTGAGTGCTGTGTGTATCGCTTTTTCGCATTGATGCCATGGCAGGGCAGGATACCAAAGGAGGGAGAAATGGGGAGGGAGAGACTCCCAGAAAGCAGGTTTTCCCTGTAACTGAAAGCACACGGATAGGTAGAAAGTTGCTTACTGGCAGCAAAGCTTTGGAATGTCTAGTTAGACCTTCAGCAGGGAGGAGGAGTGAGAGTCCGAAGTGATGGGTGTGTGGCTGTAAATCCAGGAGACTAAGTGAAAATACTGTTAGGGTTTTACTTGCTTACAGAAAACTTAAAGGCAGTGACAACTATTGTCAGCAGCGGACTAGCTACTTTTTTAGATTCAAATGTGTGCATACTTAGATTTTATATATATGAGCACATATTTATATATAAATATATTCTCCATACATATCACATATATAGCGTTTGTAGGACAAGGTCCATTTAGGGTGTTTTTTCCTCTCCCTAAGCTGGTGTCCCTGGAGCAGTGAAGCCAGCTGTTCCCCTTTGCCTCCTTGGGACTCATTTCAAAATTGTCGGACTTCTGTGCAGCAACTTGTGTTTGGCTCAAAGGGCATTTGGGGCCGGGTGTTACCACTTGTGTTTGTGGTATGTTTTTGTGTGCGTGTCCCTCATTTTATGATCAGTAAAATCTCCTGTAACGCTGCTCTGGAAATAGCCTGGTTTTTCTCCTGAGGTCAATTCTAAAATAAGTAGGTGAGCTGCTGACTGTCCTTAAGAATTTGTGGTTTGGGAATATATCCTAGTAAGTGCATCATTTGAACAAATCTGGAGTGCTGAGCTCTTTCACTGGTGCTTTTGAAGCATTTGTAATTTAGGAGCCTATATTATTAGAGAACTGTTTTTTGTTGTTTTTGGGGGGGAATTGTTTTTTTTTTTTTTTTTCCCAAAGGGGACTGAAGATGTAAGGATTTTTAAACATCTATTCAGGTTAAGTCCTTGATTCCAACTGAAATGCATATGATTAGTGTCCTGACATGCTTAGGTGCTTTTCAAAATAGCCATCATCATTTAAACGTTCAAATGTACTCGAGAGCATGTTTATTCAGCACTTCTGAGGTTTCTGTACATCTATTACAATGCTGGAAATTCAATTTAAATACATTATTGTTGAAGCATCAGTTCTAACTTGCCCTTTATACTGCAGTTCTGTGAAGAAAATATTAACAATCTGAACTTGGCAGGGACTGTGAGCCTGGATAGTGTTTATAGATATGTATTTATTTGGGATTCAGAAGATCTGTGTTCTCTTTCTTACTGGGTTGTGGGCATCATGGGCTACTCTGAGCAATTCAGCTCATTGCCCTTTCCACTGTGAAATTAACATATTGTCTGTCTTTTCAGACTCTTGACTAAAGGAGCCATTTGACTGCATGTTACTGTCTTATGAATGCCTTAAAACTGTTAATAAATACAGAACTGTGTGCTAGTTCTGTAAATTGCATAATTACTGAATGTTTCACTTCTCCATTGACAGTACCAGTGCAAAATGCTGGAAATAAGCAATTTTACATGGAAGATGCTGCTTGTTGATTTAAGAGTTAAGTTTCCCTTGCATGGTATACTTCTGTTTTGTAAGGCCAGGGTGAATTTCTTTAGTGTGGCTGGCTGTATTTCCGATGGAATTTGCAGATCAACAAAGAAAATACATAAATCTCTCAAACTAAACACTATACAGTACTGAAGTACTTTGTATCTTGTTTCATTTTTTTTCTTTACAGATTGATTAAAGAAAACAAAAAGCATCAGGAACTGATTTTGGATATCTGCTCAGAAAAGGACAATTTAAAAGATGAACTGAAAAAACGAACAGAAACAGAAAAGCAGCACCTCAACATTATTAAACAGGTACCGATAACAGCAGAAGTTAGTGTTTGACCTGTGGGATGCTCTTATTGCCACTTGTTAATAAGATGCCTTTGGAAGCATAGGGGAGATGCCCATCCTTATATACTGAGCATTTTATGAAATCCCTTTTTTCATTCCAAGAAAATTATTCATTGGCTAAAAGCATTTGCTGCCTTTGGTTAATTTCAACTTCTAGATTCAAAGCACTTAGGTGTTTAGTATCTGGAAGTCCTTATAAGGTCAAGTGAGTTCTAGTTATGCATCAACATGAGGATTAAACTCTGTGGGTAGCCTTGAGAAGAACATTAATGTGTACCCTGGCTTCCTCTTGAAGACTGTGTCAAAGGCTTGCTATGCCTTTTTCCAGAATCTCTGTTTCTTACCATGATAAGATTTATTTATTTATTTTATACCTAGAGATAAAGGGAATCTCACTTAGGCCTTCTGTTATATCTCATTTCTTCTTGATCTGCCTCCCTTGTTTTCCATTACTAACTGCTGCATCTGTGGGTGTGTGTAGTTACAGTAATAACTGTATAGCTGTTAACAGTTATAAGTTAAAATCATCCACAGATAATTTTAGAAAATACTGTTTTGGGGTGTAATGCTTTGAAATTGTAGTTGCACAGCAGCTAGACTTTTAACATAAGTTGCAGCAAGCCCTGATTATTTTTTGTGCCACGTGAATATTTTAATGTGGTAACTTTGTTTCTTCAAGTAAATGAAAGCTCAGCTGTGAGCCCAAAATGCATGTGTGCTTGCACATGTGGATTTTTTTTTGCATGCTAAGCAGTGATTCATTTGCCAAGCTAAGGAGGTGGGCAAAAGAAGTATTTAACTTAATGGCTTTATGCAGGAGTTTAGAACCATACAAAAATGGAAATCCTGAGATCTTTGCTCTTAAGCTAACCAAAAAAAAGCTGGACTTGATGAATGGACTTTCAAACAGTTTGAACAGCCTTTGGGCACCGTTACAGTTTCCGACGCTGGTTGTGCACGGGTGCGACTTTGCCGAGGCGGCGCGGGAGGCACTGCAGGTGCCCAGCAGTGAGGAGTCTGCAGCTGGATCAGGTCCTGCGCTGGCTCGCTGCGTGGCTAGAGACACATGCAGGCGCAATGACCTCGTGCCTCTTTATTTGCTGAGCTATTTTTCAATTAATTAATTCCCAGCCCAGTTCAGTAGGGGTGCATGAATATTCTGCTGGCACAGTGAAGGAGATGGTGCAAGGATAGTGAAAAAAGGATAAAGCAGCTTGAGACAGCACCCAGCCTGGCTTTGGTATCCCTGCCAAAGAGATGCCATCAGTTTCTTTTTTTTTTTTTCTTTCTCTTTTGCATAGTGAGTTATTATGCATCATATCTTAGTTTATTTCATGCAGTTGTCTCGCTGCAGGTGAAAATTGGCTTCTTTTATGAGCCTTCTTTACTACAAAGCTAGACGATATTGGCTGTTGCAGCTCGAAAAAGTGTAAAATACATGTAAAGATGTGGGATAGCATCTGCTTTTGTGTGAAATGTGCCTATCTGTACAAAACCTGATCAAAGTCTTTTTTCTCTAATTATATCCTGTCGTCTTTATAGCTAGAAGCAAGAATAGAAGAGCTTAATAAGGAAGTGAAAACTAGTAAAGACAAACTTTTAACCCAAGATGCAGCAGCCAAAAATGCTATTCAGCAGTTGCATAAAGAGATGGCGTTTCGAATGGACCAGGTAATGTAGAAAACTTCTAATTGATAAGCATCTCACAAGCTTGCTTTATGCAGGAAACATGCCCCCAAAGTTGTTAAATCACAGGATCAGTCGAAATTTTCCAAAATTGAAATTACTACAATTTAGTTATGTATGCATTTGGTAACTTACATAAATTAATTTCCAAGTAGCTGTTAATGTTCTAGAACGACTGATGCCCTCCTTTTTATCATATATGTTTATATACATACAATTCAGTCCTCAAAGACATTTAATTTTCCCTTCCTGTAAATTGATCTGAGTTTAAAAGAGGGTAAAAGCTGGCAGTTGCTATTGTGAATTAAACTAATACACTTCTGAAACCGAACTCAAAGTTCTTATTTGTCTTGTGTGTTGTTACTGAGAGCTGCTGATTTTAAAGCTTTTTTCCTGCTTTTTTTGTTTTGTTTGTAAAAGTGGAACTTGTCATTCTGGGGTGGGAAGGAGCACCATCTGGTTAAATAATGGATGATGATTGTGCAGTTCCCATGTGGACATGGGAGGAGAAAGGACAGATACCGAGTATTTGCGGAAATACTTCGTTGCTAAAATTTATCAAGTATACTTCTTTTCTGAAACAACAGATTGTACTCACAATGACTAATACACTGATAACTCAAGATGTTTAGCTTTGAAGCTGCAGCTGCTTAAATATATATTTACTGTTACAAACATGAATAGTTCCAGTTGAATCAATTGGACTAATGATAGTTATGTAAGGGCCTAATGTTGCTCTTGGAAACTGAAGCTTTGGAGACCCACTTTGTTATGCTAATTCACTACAGTGCTGAGCATATCCAGTATTGGCTTATAAAACCTAAGTACTCATGCAAGGTTAATTCGTTCTCTTTTAATATTTTCAAGGCAAACAAGAAATGTGAAGAAGCACGCCATGAAAAAGAAACAATGGTGATGAAATACGTCCGAGGGGAGAAGGAATCCCTTGACCTCCGGAAGGAGAAGGAGATACTTGAGAGAAGGATGAGAGATGCAAACAAAGAAATTGAAAAGCATGCTAATAAAATCAAACAGCTTTCTCAAGAGAAAGGAAGATTGCACCAGCTCTATGAAACCAAGGTGCTCTGAGCATTATTATATAGTTTAAGTAAATAATCAAAAGCCCTCTCAGAACAAACAGATCAACAAACCAGATAATTTGCTATCATACTTGGTGAAAGAAACCAGTTTTCATTTGGTTTGGTTGTACAGCCGTGAAAGAATCCCTTTCCAGCAGAAGGGGAAGAAGTAACTGAACTCTTACAGTGATCATTTTGATAACTCCTTTCATGTGTGTGTTTCAAGGTAACATAATGTTAATGCATATAAAAGCTGCATCCCAGTGCAGCTTTATCTTGTACGTGAGTTGGAATGCTTATATATATATATATATATTTTTTTTCCCTGGGTTAAGGGCTAAAGTACTGGTTGCTTTTAATTATGTGCATATTTTTGCAAAATCAGGACCTTAAAAATTGTACACCTGGCGTTTACATACAAGTCTTGTTCTTGTAGAAGCACTGGATGATTTAAATCCATGATATTTTCTTAGGATGGTGAAGCCACTCGCCTGAACAGAGAAATAGAAAAACTGAAAGAAGAAATCAATTCTCATATTATCAAAGTGAAATGGGCTCAGAACAAATTGAAAACAGAAATGGATTCACACAAGGTTAGTGAAGTGTTACTATGACATGAAACTGCAGTTGGTGAAATGTAGACGCTACACTAGTTCCTTTTTTACTATCACTACAATCTCCTTTTAAAGGTTTCTTCCATTTGAGCACCTGCTGCAAAATATTGTAGTGCTTCTAAAAGATACTGATGCTGAATTGAAAGGGGGCAGGGGAAGGATTTTGTCTTAACCTGCTGATAACTTCGGTTTTGTGCGATAGATTTAAGTCAGTATGTTGTCTGAAAATGTACACATAACAGCACATAACTTCTGTGCTTTCAGTGTTAAACAAAATTGCATGAGCTGTTCAATGGAAGCAAGATGGGTCAAAAATACTAGGTATATCCCTTTGGTGTTAATTCATTTCAGATTGAAATAGGAAAATGTTTTCAGAAATGCTTTTGTCTAAGTTAGGCTGTGTAAGTGTGTAGATGTAACTGATTATTCATTGCAATTTGTGGTTAGTTGGTTGTTTCCTTGTTTTTATAGGAAACCAAGGATCGCCTTAAAGATGCAACAACAAAATTAACTCAAGCAAAAGAAGAAGCAGACCAGATACGGAAAAACTGTCAAGAAATGATAAAAACCTATCAAGTAAGCACCTTTTTTTT